CATGACCATGCCCCATTGGAAGATGCTTTCTCTCTGTGTGTCTTTCTCTTAGGGCATACACCCTCTGGAAAATGTAAAAAAAAAAAAAGAAAGAAAGAAAGAAAGAATTCTCTTAGCTGAATCCCACATTTAGCATTTCCCTGATTATCTTCCATGGAGAGAGGGGCATTTTTTTTTTTAAACAAAGGATTACAAATTGATGAGACCAGGATAACCTGAGTGGTTGTGCTTTTTTTTTTTTTTTTCTATTGGGCATGTGTGCTCATCAGCGAGACAGAGAAAGGAAAATGAGAAATCTCCCTGGGGAGATGGGCAAGCCTCAATCCCTTCTGCCCTATTCTCCTTTTGGGATTTTGGGCACACATGCACATGCATTCAGCATAATTTTCAAGCAAATGGGGTCTGGGACTTGAACTGAAGTTGTCTATGTGGGAATCCAGTAGCCTTCACTTGACTACAATGCCACCTGCTGGCCTCCTGGAACAACTTTCTTAGTAGGTATTATTCTACATTACAGAATAAACTGAGTTCCAGGGAAAGGTAACTTGCTTAAGGCCATACAATGAGATTGGCAAAGTCAAGATTAGAGCCAGGTCCTCCAGCATTCCAGCCCAGGGCTGTCCTTTCCCTTCCCACCTTTCTCCAAGGACTTCTGTGGCCAGAGGTCCTCTGTGTCCAGGGTCCTCAACCCTGAACCTGGGAGTTCTCAGGTTGTCTTCCTGCTCAAAGATGAATCAAGACTAATTGGCCACTGAGGCATGTTTGGGTCATACCAAAAAATCTAAGGTGACAACCCTTTCTGGAAGGTGAGAGGAGCTGATGGGAGTCACTTCAGAGTAGGGGCAGCTGCTATAGAAAAGGCTTGGCCACCAATTGGCCAGGTGATGTTGGTCATGTGACTGCCCCTCTCCAGGTCTCAGCTTCCCCATCTATACAGTGAGAGCATCATGCTTGATGTATAGGAGCTCTTTGAGTTTGGACTGGTAAGATTGGCTGACGAATGACCTTCCCAAAATGATACATAGGTCAAAATACAGTTCAAAGAGGGATGAGAACAGAACACTTTATTTTTTGGTCTCTTATTAAGCATACTTAGGTTGAAATATCACCTCTATTCTCACCTCACTCATCTGCAAAGTAGAGTTGATAATAATTACCTGGCAGAGTAGTTGAGCATGTTAAATGGGATGATGTGTCTGAAGGCTTTTTGGCACAGTGTCTAGCACAACAGGAGAAACTCAGTTGCCCTTCTGATCTAGCGAACTCCTTACAAAGTAGTAGAGTAAGAAAGTCATGGCCTCCATTGCATCCCAAGTTTGGGGAGTAACACAGGGGTCAGAGTAATAGGACAGAGTAGAAAACACTTGGGCAGGGAAGAAGCCCATTTCAGAAACTTTTTCTTTTCATTTTTTTTACATTTTTGCCATAGCATGCATATGCTCACTGGAGAGAGCATGGTCATCTCCCCTGCTACCTAGGGGAGATGGCCATGCCAGATATCCTTTATACTCTCAGGATTTTGGGCACACATGCACATATGCCCAGCGTGTTTTTCAAGCCACCAGGTCTAGAACTCAAACTGCAGTCAACCATGTGAGATCTAGCGCCTTAACCACCATGTCAACTGCTCGTCCCCAAAAATGGCTTTTTCATTTCCACTCTATTCTTGCCAAGGTACTCCCTACATGAACCTTGCTCTCACTCTCAAAGATAAGAACCCTGAGGTAGGATGAAACAAATGATCATAGGCTTTTGTGGGAGGCTGCGCACCAGCGAATATCGCCCTTAGGTTTTGGTTTCTCAGCAAACAATTACAGAATGCCAAAGGCCATGATTGGCTCACCTTCAAAACCTCACCTTCAAAGTCATACTCTGATTGGCCACTTCCCATAGTAAATCGGTGAGCTTAGAATCCCTCAGATTTGCATATTCACATTTGCATGTGGACCTCATGATTGGTCCACAAAAGCAACCAATCATAACCCACCTTTTACAATCCTTCATTTACATATAGAACAACCAATCACTGCCCGCCAATGTGTATATAACCACGATCCCTGGCCCACAGTCTCCAGAGGACCCTGAGTAGTTGTAACACTGTGTCATCTCTGGATGACCCTGAAGAGTTGTAACACTGTGTTGTCTCCGTGCTGCCCACAATAAACTGACGATGCTGAAGAGTTGTAACACTACGCCGCCGTTTGTCCCGTCTCTCACTCCTTCCCTCAGGAAACCTTTTTGACTGTCCTGCGGATCAGGACAGGCTTTAAAATCTAGGAGATCTGGGGACCAGCAGTTGGCATAATGACTATGTCGCTGGACTCCCATGTATTCGACCGCAGTTCGAGTCCCAGATCTGGTGGCTTAGACTCACGCCGGGTGCTTGTGTGTGCGTGCCCAAGATTCCAAGAGGTTGGGACCAGCAAGTGGCATGGTGGTTAAGGCGCTGGATACTGCCACATGGCCAACCACAGTTCGAGTCCTGGACCTGGTGGCTTGCTTTCTCACTTTCCTCTCTCTCTCTGTGTCTCTCTCTGGTCAAATTAAAATGAAGGAATGAATAAATAAAACCCCCCAGGGGGGATGGTCACGCCGCAATCCCTTCTCCTCCATTCTCCTCTCGGGATCTTGGGCACGCACGCACACGTGCTCGGCGTGAGTTTTTTAAGCCACCGGGTCCAGGACACGAACCGCGGTCGACTACATGGGAGTCCAGCGACATAGCCATTACACTAACTGCTGGTTCCCAAATATAGATAAATCTTTAAAAAAAAAAAAAAAAGAAAAGATCCTGAGAGGAGAATGGAGGAGAAGGGATTGTGGCGTGGCCATACTCCCTGAGGGGATGATTTCTTGCTTTCTGTCTCTCTGTCTCTCTCTGTCTTTCTTGTGAGCACACACACCCTATAGCAAAAAACACTTCTTAAAAAAAAAATCTAGGAGATCTGGGATGACCCGAAGGGTACACAATCATGCGCTACATGAACTTAGTTCAGTCCCTCTGGCTGAGCCTTACTTTTTTCTGCTGTAAAATAGGCAATAATGATCTCTGTACATGTCCTACTGACATCTCTATGATATTGAGCCTTTCTATCCATGTACATGTTATACTCACCATATAGTAAGGCTTGTTTTTCTTTGTATTAACCTTCATGATTTTTCTCTATATACACCGAAATCTGGGCTGGCCTGGCCTCTAGACAGTTAAGGGATCTGGATCTCACACTGAGGTTAGAATCCTTGCTCTAGCAGCTTAAAAGACTCTCCAGGCACACGTGTGTGTGCACTCAAAATCCTGATGAGAGAGAGGAATGGAAGAAAAAGAATTGCAGAGTGATCAAGCCCCATCAAGGGGTGTTTTCTCTCTCTCTGTCTTTCTCTGGTTGAGCACACATGTTCTTTGTCAAAAACAAAATAAAACATTGAAGCCTGGGCTGATCTCCACCAACCTGGGTCTGTGTTCAGACTTCTCCCCTGTTCTCCTATCTCTGCCTTTCAAGTCTTCTTGACTCCAAGGGGAGCCAAAGGAATCCTTCCACCTTTCTGCTTTCCATAGCAGGATTATTCATAGTCAGTAGGACCCGAGAAGGGTTCTTGTGCTGTTGCATGCTCATTAAGCTAGAAAATTAATCCTTTATAAATGATAGCATTCAGCCCCCTCTTTCTTTCTCTGAGACTTAGCTACTAACCACACTGCCCCTGCTGCCTCTCTAATGTTTGCTACTCTTGTTTCTGATTAGCTTAAAGCTCTCCCCACATCCTGCCTGGCCTCATTACCTATGGTGCCTCAGTGTGGATGACCTCGTCACTGCATAGGTCTCATTCAGTCCCTCCCACATACCTATTTTTGGTCCTGTCTGTGGAAGTCTTTTCTCCTCTATTTTACCTAGTCAATTTCTTCATTAACTTCAACACTAATTCAAGTTCCCTTCTCTTTTTGAAACTCTCTTTACATTTGGTATCAGCCAACTTTGTGCTTAATTACCTTCTTGCTCAGACCCACTGTGATGGGCAGAAGAGTGAGTGTCGCAGGAGGCAGAAAGACACGGGCTAAATTTCAACCCACCAGTTCTTAGTCACGACACCTTGAGCAAGTCCCCAACCTCTCGGCCTTATTTTCTTGTCTGTAAAATGGAAATAATACTACCGACTTTGAGTTGCTGCCAAACTATACTGAAAAATCTTTTGGCAATAAAGACATATCTTACACAGTATCTTATAGGAGGTTGTAAAAATTTGTGCACTGGGGCCAGCAGGTGCTGTGGAGGTTGGGATGCTAGATCCTACATGGTGGTTGGATGGTTCAAGTCCTGGACCTGGTGGCTTGAAAAACACACAAGGCACGTGTGCATGTGTGCCCAAAAGCCCAAGAGGAGAATAGAGGAGAAGGGATTGTGGCATGGCCATTCCCCTGGGGTGTGTGTGTATACATGTGTGTGATATTTCATTTTCCCTCTCTCTGTGTCACCACACCATGTGCCCTATAGCAAAAAGCCAAACAAACAAACCACACACACACACAAATGTGTGCAATAAAGACTTGTGAAAGACCAACCATTCTATGCTAATGAAAGAATGGGTAGTCCAGAATATCATATTTGTCGGGGGGGGGGGATGACTTGCATTTAGGTTCTGAGTAAGTCATGGGTTTGGGGAACAGCATATTTTTCTTACTAATTCTGTTTTGTTTGGGGTAATATCAAAATGAGATTACATTTCCTAATGCTAGAATTAAAACATTATCTTAGAAAATCTACAACATGGATCAATCCTTGTGTGACAAATGGAGTGCTGACTCCATGAAATGACTGATAAACACTGAGCACCTGAAGAGTTTGGGGTGAAAATGTTCAGATCAAGAACCTCCTGAGAAATGTGCTACTGCTTCTAAATATTCCAGGAACACTCATGAGGCAAATGTTCCAAACATCATAAATACCTCTGCTCTGTAAAGGCGCTAGCTTGCCGAATATAAGGAAAGCGTGAGGCCTCTTTCTTACCTGTTATCTGTAAGCTTAAGCCGGGGTCCAGCTTCGTGTGGGGCTTTGAGCTGATGAACAGGTAACACAGCACGCAAGCGGTGATGATGAAAGCCAGGAGGACCACCGCTGCTACGGACAGGCCCACCAGAGCGCCAACGCTGCGGAGAGACCACCTGGGAGCTGAGTGTCAGGACAAGACTTGGGAGGGTTGTTGGAATCAGCTTCAACTTTCGTTCAGTCCCTACCTGACTTACACAGGCTCTCTGTGCCTAAGCAGGTGGAAGAGCATCAGGTATATGCCAAGTGGTCACCATATACATGTGTCACCATGTGACTGGGACTCGGTATGTGCTGCTCTTCTTCCTTCTCCCTCCCTACTTTCCTCAACCTATTCTGGAGATGGTCCCACACTCCCCACACTACTGTTTCTTTTTTCTTTTTTTCTAAGGCATGATCTCGCCATCCTCCTGCCTTAGCCTCCTGAGTTGCTGGGATTACAGGTGTGTGCCACCATACCCAGATATTAGGGTGGGCCTGGAATGGAACCTAGGCTTCCTTATGACTTCAGCCTGCTGAGTAGTAATGTCTACTGTGGAAGGCCGCATATTAGATCTTGCACAACCGTTCGTCCATTTTGTTTCCTTACCCTAACATGGCTGTCTGCTTCTGTAAACCTGCTTGCTCTTCCCATGAAAAAATAGCTCATGCTAGCCGTATAGAAAACCGCATCTGGGACGACATCCTGTACCTGCTACTGTCTTTGCTAACTAGCCCGAAATCCTTTTGTTTAGCAATGTAACTGTTTGCATGGAAACCTCACTCCCCTCAGAAATAATTAACCTTCTTAATTCAGCTTCTGTAATTGCTTGCATAGAAACCCCTGGTAACTGACTGCCTATAAAAAGACTACTCAAGGGACCAGCAGTTAGCATAATGGCTATGTTGCTGAACTCCCATGTAGGCGACCGTGGTTCGAGTCCCAGACCCGGTGGCTTAAACTCATGCCGGGCATGGGTACGTGCGTGCCCAAGATCCTGAGAGGAGAATGGAAGAGAAGGAGAAGGTATTGCGGCCTGGCCATCCCCCCGGGGGTGATTTCTCACTTTCTATCTCTCTGTTTCTCTCTTTCTGGCAAGCGCACATGCCCTATAGCAAAAACCTCTCAAAAAATAAAAAAGACTACTCAAACTTCAGTCGGGCTGCAGTTCTGACTCTCGGCCCCAGAGCTTTGGGCTGTCGTCACTGGCCAGCTAATCAAGACTCCCTTTAACTTTAATCTGGCTTTGGTGGTCATTCATTCAGTTGCTCTCTACAACGCTACCAACGCTGGGCCTCCACACTGCTGTTTCTTAAAAATCAAGACACAGGTCCAGCAGGTGGTGTGGAGGTTAAGGCAGCTGGATCCCACATGGCCAGCTGCATGTTTGAGCCCCAGACCTAGTGACTTGAAAACACTGAGCTTGTGTGCTTGCATGCCCAAAATCTGGAGAGGAGAATAAAGGAGAAGGAATTGCTGAATGGTCATCCCCCCAGGGGGTGATTTCTCACTTTTCCTCTCTGTCTCTCACCAGCGAGCATACACACCCTACAGCAAAATTTAAAAATAAAGAAATCAATACACATATTAGGCCTTAGTTAAAACCCAGTAGAACTTCTAGCCTCAGTGTAATTTTTAAAAAAATGTTGCCGGAGTATATGTGTCCTCACCAGAGAGAAAGAGAAGCACCTCTCCTCACCCCCATGAGGAATGGTTATGCTGCAATTCCTTCTCTTCCATATCTCCCTCCTTTAGGGATTTTGACTTATATGCACATGTCCCCTGCATGTTTCTCAAGCCACCAGATCTAGGACTTGAGCTGTGAGGTTGGCCATGTGGGATCTGGCTGCCTTAACTACTGAGCCATGGAGCCAGTCCAGCCTGAATGTAATTTCTAACCAACCTCCAGTTCTTCTGAACATGCCAGTGTCAATTCCATGTCTAAAATACCTCCCTACTACTAGTCCTTCACCCTCTGACCTCACTGCCTCTGCCCCAAGTTAGGCCTTGGTCACTTGGTCTGAAGGAGAACACTTTTTTTTGGTCACATACAACACAACACAACACTTTGACCCAATTCTCCAGCAGATGTCAGCTGGGTGTCCTCTAATTGAGGTGGCATCAGATCTCACCAGTTAAGAGCTCAGTCCCATAAGACAGCCCCACTTTAGATGTTAAACTCAAGTAATAGGTTGTCACCTATACTTCTGACTCACTGGCAATATACTGGTGTGTCATGACCCCTTCCTCATATTGGATTAATTTGCTAGAATGGTTCACAGAACTCAGGGAAACATGTCACTATGTGTATCTGTTTATTGAAAAAGATATTACAAAGGATACAGATGAACAGCCAGACAGGAGAGATGGCTAAATCATGGTAGAGGGAAGAGGTGTGGAGTTCCATTCCCTCTCCAGATACACAACCCCCAGAAACCTCCACAATTTTAGCAACTCAGAAGCTCCCCAAACCCTGTCCTTTTGGGGTTTCATGGACATTTCATTGTATAGACATGATGGATTACATCACTGGCCATTGGTGATCAGCTCAACCTTCTACCCCTCTCTCTCCCCAGAGGTGGGGGAGGGCCGTGAATGCCAACTCTCTAATCTCATCCGTTGGTTCCCCTGGCAACCAGTTTCTACCCTGGAGCTATCTAGGAGCCTCCCAAGAGTTGCCTCATTAGAGTGAAAGATGCTTCTATCACCCAGGAAATTACAAGGGATTAAGAGCTCTGTCTCAAGAGTTGGGAGCAGAGACTAATTATATACTAATTATATACAATATCACTTGTGGTCACCAGAAAACTGCCTCTTAACTCATTTGGGGGCCTTGTCTCTCTTACTTCACATGATCTCTCCCTGTAATTTTCTCATATTGGACTTTCACGTGTCCTTGAAGACCCACCAGCAGTTAGCGTAATGGCTATGTCACTGGACTCCCAGGTAGTCGACCATGGTTCGAGTCTCAGACCCAGTGGCTTAAACTCACGGTGGGCACGTGTGCATGCATGCCCAAGATCCCCAGAGGAGAATGGAGGAGAAGGGATTGTGGCGTGGCCATGCCCCCTGAGGGGTGAGTTCTCCCTTTCTGTCTATCTTTCTGGTGATCTCACGCACCCTATAGCAAAAATCTTTCAAAAAAAAGAAAAGACCCACCTCCAAGTCCCATTTCCTTGGTCATCTTCTCTGCTCCCTTGCCCGTGTGCCAGGCTAACCCACCCAGGACACGACTCAGGTTCATTAGCATTCCCAGTTGGTCAGGCAGCCGATGTATTAGGGACAGAGGATAGGAATTTTGGGTTTTGGAACCTGATCTGGCTCTGGAACTGACTCACTGCAAGATCTTGGTGAAGATATTTAATGCTTTGAGACTCAGCTTCCGCTTCTGAAAAATGAAAATGATCAAAACACAGAATCCTGCACGTGGTCGTGAGGATGAGTGACTGAAATATTCTTGGCACGCAGTTCCACACATTCCTCATGTGTCCCAGATGATAGAGTTAATCAGCTTTATCCTCCCCTTGTACAAGGCCTGGCACATAAACGGTAATTAGGTAATTAATCGGTAATTAATGAGAACCTATTATGTATCAGGCACTGTGAGACGCTCTCCCAGTAGTCCTATGTGGTTGAACTCCCATGTAGTCGACCGTGGTTCAAGTCCCAGACACAGTGTCTTAAACTCACGCTGGGTGTGTGTGCATGTATGCCCAAGATCCCAAAAGGAGAATGGAGGGAGAAGGGATTGCGGCGTGGCCACCCCCCTGGGGAATGATTTCTCGCTTTCTGTCTCTCTGTCTCTCTCTTTCTGGTGAGTACAAGCACTCTATAGTAAAAACCTAAAAACCTAAAAAAAAAAAAAATATCTGAGTTGTCCCACAGCGATTATACTACTTCAAAAGTGGTGAGTTCTGTATCACAAGAGAGGTTTGTACAGAGGAGTTTAACTTTCAAACAGGTTAGAGACCCCTTCCCTGAGCGGGTAATGGGATTAGAGAGCCTCTAGCCTTCTAGGATTTCACCGTTCTGATTGAAAGATGAAATACCCAGTGATCCCTAAGAAAGAGTTGTAGAAGCAGCCCAACAAAAAGGCCTAAGGAGGCCCAGCAGGTGGTATGGAGGTTGAGATGGCTGGATCGCATATGGCCAACTGTGCAGTTCGGGTCCTGGACCTGGTAGCCTGAAAATCACACCAGGCATATGTGCATGGGTGCCCAAAATCCTGAGAGGAGAATGGAGAAGGGGCTGTGGTGTGGCCATCCCTCCTGGAGGGTGATTTCCCTCTCTCTCCCTGATGAACACATGTGTCCTATACCAAAGAACTAAAAAAGACAAAGAAAGAAAGAGGGACAAAAGGTGGCATGGCGGTTAAGGCATTGGACTCCCACATGGGTGACCATGGTTCAAGTCCTGGACTTGGCAACTTGAAAATCACACCAGGCACATGTGCACATCTGTCCCAGATTCTAAGAATGGAGGAGAGGGGACTGTGGCCTGGCCATACCTCTTGGGGAGTGATCTCTCACTTTCCCTCTCACTGCCTCTCTCTCTGGCAAGTATGCGTGCACTATGACAAAAATGTGAAAAAAAGAAAGAAAGAAAGAGAGGAAGGAAGGAAGGAAGAAAAAAAGAAGAAAAAGAGAAAGAATGGGTTAAGGCGTAAGTTCCAAATTTAAATCCTGATTCTGTTATACGTAAGCAGAAAAATCACTTCACCTTTCTGATGTACACTTTCTTCATTTGTAAAGGTTCCTATCTTACTAGGTGGGCTTGCAGGGATGAAATGAAATGGTATATACAGTGCTTGGCCACCAGCTCTGCCCTCCAGCAAGGCTGCTGCTTTCTGACGCACATCCTGGGAGAAAAAAAACACACAAACAAAACAGAACTAGTGACAGAGGGTGTTTGGCAAGTGGAGCAGGTGGTATGACAGCACCAGCTGCCTCTCCACAAGGCACCTTCACTTCCCGAGACAGGTTTTTAAAGACAACAATTCTCCTTGAGCACTCTCTCACCAAGGAAACAGTGTTTACCTGGAGATTTTTATGTTTTTAAGGACCAGCTTTCAAGAAAAGGGCCAAATGGGATTTAGAGAAAAACGCAAAGTCCCCATCCTGCATGGGTGGGGTTCTGTTAGCAGCATGCTGGAAGAGTTGCTTCAGAGCTGTGTGCACTCATCACCTAAGCATCTTGGGGACACTCAGTTGCCCTCTTCCACTTTGCAACTGTCTGTGATTTTTAGGAACCACACTATGTCCAAACCCAAGGAGTGCCACCCCATACTCTAGAACCTTTCAGCAGCCCTTCGAGTTATCAAATGGGAACGAACTCAGAGACCAATCTATCCAACCCTCCACTACAGCATGGCTGAGCCACTTAGGCACTCCACATAGTGGAGAGGGTTTCCAAGGCAACAGAAGGGAGGTGAGCAGTGTGCACGGAAGGGCATGGTGGAAGAGGGAAAGGGTCCTGGCTGAGTGCTGAGGGCATACACATCTGTATCCGCAAGGGCCAACACAGTGCCCAGAAGACAGTGGAGAATCAGTGCGTGTTTTTCAAATGACCTGAGTAGATGAGATTATAAGAGAGCCTAGCTAGATTTAGACAGTCACGGAGAAAGACCAATCTGGGCTTTTGTCCGACTGGCTTGAGTTTTTTTTTT